CTCTTAAGCCAATAACTAGACTATAAGCCATAATCTAGAACAACATCACAAAAATAAACGGCTTCGAGCAGGCGCCTGGCTATGCTTAGGCTAACAAAAGTATGACGACGCCAAGTCTAGGACCGACCTCCTGATTGGTTACCTATAGAAACAGACATAACATAGGATGAGCTAAGCTCAGTGAACAATAGTACATACATGCTTCACTACCCATATATAGATAATAACGTAATGGGAGCAGTAATCACATAACTAGTCTGATTCCATATTACTTGAACGACTTTGTCGGTTCCACAACTTTACGAATTGGCCATTGGTCTGATAGGTTCACACATACACAAATTAGCTTTTGGCTTCATAGATTCATCACTTATTACATCGGTCTTCGGCCTCTTGGATGCACAATTTCACAAGTCGGCCCTCAGCCTCATAGATTAATATTTCACATAGTTCACAAGTCAGCCCTCGGCCTCATAGTCATAGTTTCATGTTTCACATAGTTCACAAGTCGGCCCTCGGCCTCATAGTCATAGTTTCATGTTTCACATAGTTCACAAGTCGGCCCTCGGCCTCATAGGTTTGTAACTTCACAAATGGCCCTTGGCCACATAGAGTCATAACTTCACAATTCCTTTTGACGTTTTCATAATTTCACAATGTGTCTCAAATTCATAACTTCATATTAGTTTCTAAGTAGCATACATATTAAACATAACGTCAATAACAATAATGACTAACGTGATTGATGTACATCGTGTACTATTACTCACTGTGCTGCGGCGGAGCACTAATTCCTCTTGACGTGCTTCCTACACACACAAAGATTCACATTAGTTCCTCTTTTTCTTGTTAAATATTTCCTGAATCACATGCTTCGAATGAATTTTTAACCATATTATCAAAAAAATATTTTAAACATATCAGAGGGTCGAGCACGCAAAACAGAACCGGCATGCTTTCCGACCTGGGCTGCACGTGCGGCAGCCCCGTCCGCACGAGCGAACATTGACCGCATGTGCGGTCCCCCTCCTCCGCACGATCGGCCGTAGACAGTAGGCAACCTAGATTTTTTCCCTCTTCTCCGCACGTGCGGCCATGCCCTCCGCACATGCGGCCAAGGCCCTGTTTGGCAGTCCGAAAATTCTGAAAAATCCCACTTTTGGTGAGCATCAACAAGGTCTAAATTATATCCTTTAATTGCCAAAACAAGCTTCCAAAATCATTACACATACATGATGATTCTCAATATAAACTAGCTCTTAACTTCACAACTCAATTTGATTCATCAAAACTTTAAATTCATAACTACCATCCAATTCCTTTTTCCTTGAGCATTCTCACATATATATAAATACATAGAGCCATATGTTTCTATATTTGAGTTCAAACATAACAATTCAAGGAAGTTGGACTACAATACTCAAAGATAGGATGATCTTATCAATTATGTAACATAAACACATAAGATTCCTTATGTTCATAAACATAGCACAATTCATCAATAGAATTACATGAGTTTGGCATGGAAACTAAAGATTGAAGTAGAATTCTACACAACACTTAAATTAGATCCCAACCCAACCCATTAATGAGCATGTCTTGATAATCGCACAAGAATCACACACAACTCTCCATTATAACCCTAGTAGCTCCCATAAGAAATTGACAACCCTTCCTCACAATTGAAAGGAGAATTTTTACACATGGTTAAGAGAAAGTTTATGCAAAATTAATTTCACATACCTTGGCTTCACAAATCTCCAAGATCCTCCTAATTAATCTCACCTCCTTCCTTGTTAACCTTTCCCTTTTCTCTTATTTCATTTTTTTTTCCCTCTCCAGGAGATACTTCAAGTTTTGATCACACTTAAGAAGACTTGAACTTATATAGATTCATATAAAAAGCATATAAGACAAAATTCAATCGTTTAATCATTCTGAAATTGAAATTTCGTAACCATGCTTAATATTACTTAAAAATTATGCTGATCCCAGATATATAATCAATTTCAGATAATTAAGCCTCTAGGGCTTCCAATTTCTGATTTAACATTATAATGGTAACAGATGGTTTTCCTCATTAAACAGATACAGGTTCGATTCATAAAGCATATATATACTTAAACTTAATTTTTCATGCAGTGTCACATTAAGCATTTGTAAGCACAGAATAAAGACTAAAATATAGCAGAATCACATGTGAGGGTCGGGTTATTACACTCTCCCCCCCATAAATAAGTTTGGTCCCTCAAACTTGCTTGTACCTCAAAACGAAAACAGATGCGGATACTGGTGTTGCATATCCTCTTCTTTTTCCCAAGTTGCCTCAGTTCCATAATGTTCTTGCCACTCTACTTTTACCATTGGAATTTCTCGATTGCGTAACTGTTTCACTTGTCGATCCAAAATTCGAAGTGGTTTTTCTTCATAGCTTAGCTTATCATCCAACACAATTTGGTGGTAGTCTACAACATGAGATGGATCTGACAGATATCCTCGAAGCATAGAGACATGGAACACGTTATGCATTTGGCTCATGCTCGGTGGGAGGGCCGAACTCGGTAAGCTACCGGACCCATTCTTTCCAAAATTTGAAAGGGACCAACATACCGAGGTGTTAACTTACCCTTTTTTCCAAATCTCGGATGGCCTTTTAGCGGTGTGACTTTCACGAGCACATGACTACCCACTTCAAATTCCAAATCCCTTCGTCGGTTATCCGCATAACTCTTCTGTCGGCTTTGAGCCGTTTTCAATCTTTCCCGGATAATTTTCACCTTTTCCATTGTTAATTGTACAATTTCGGGCCCTAGCAAAGAGCTATCCCCAACTTCAGCCCAACATACTGGGGAGCGACACGGTCTTCCATATAAAGCTCCATAAGGTGCCATCTCAATACTCGAATGATAACTATTGTTGTATGCAAATTCTACCAACGGTAGATGGGTTTCCTAACTTTCTTGAAAATCCAGCGCACACATTCGGAGCATATCTTCTAAAGTTTGTATCGTTCTCTCGGATTGACCGTCAGTTTGAGGATGAAAAGATGTGCTGAACTTAAGTTCTGTACCCATAGCTTCCTGCAAACTTTGCCAAAATCTTGAAACAAACTTGGGATCCTTATCCGACACAATTGAAATGGGAACGCCGTGAAGTCTTACAATTTCATTCATATACAGTACTGCAAGCTTGTCTGTATTATACTGAGTTTTCACTGGTAAAAAGTGAGCAGACTTAGTTAACCGATCTACAATGACCCATATCGAATTCATACCACAAGGAGTCTGTGGTAGCCCCACAACAAAGTCCATGGTCAAATGTTCCCACTTCCATTCCGGGATTGGAAGGGGTTGTAATAATCCTGCTGGTCTTTGATGTTCCATTTTTACATGCTGACATTGTAAACACTTAGAAACGAATTCCGCGATCTCCTTTTTCATACTTGGCCACCAAAAATTTTGCTTCAAATCCTGGTACATTTTAGTACTTCCCGGATGCATTGAAAATCTTGAGGCATGTGCTTCTTCCATCAATTTCCGCTTAAGTTCCAACACATTGGGGACACATATTCTGTTTTGAAACCTGAGCACCGATTCCATTAAACTGAACCCCGGTTTTGGTTTTGTCTCTAACTCATCACATATCTTCCTTAAAGTGTCATCCTCCATTTGATGCAACTTGATCTCTTCAAGCAAGGTCGGTTGAGCCATTACTGCTGCCATTATGACCTCCTGTCCACGCATCACATACTCCATATTCAGTTTATCTAACTCAATCACCAACTCTTTTTGTTCCGTAAATAAATTTGCCAAATTCCCCCCATTTTTCCGACTAAGTGCATCCGCAACTGTGTTGGGTTTACCAGGATGGTAATGGATCTGCAAATCATAATCTTTAAGCAACTCCAACCATCGCCGCTGTCGCATATTCAACTCCTTCTGGGTAAACAAATATTTGAGACTTTTGTGGTCAGTATAGACTTCGCAGGTTGTGCCATAGAGATAGTGCCGCCATATCTTCAAAGCAAAAACTATTGCCGCTAGCTCAAGGTTGTGTGTGGGATAATTTTTCTCGTGGGGTTTCAATTGTCGAGAGGCATAAGCGATAACCCTTCCATTCTCCATAAGTACACAACCAAGCCCTTTATGTGAAGCATCACTGTAAATTACAAATCCTTCGGTACCAGATGGTAAGGCCAGAACTGGTGCTGTAGTCAACTTTGTTTTTAGATCTTGGAAAGCAGATTCCCGCTCTTCTGACCATTCAAATGCAACTCCCTTTCGAGTCAATTGTGTAAGCGGCACAGCAATTTTGGAGAAATTCTGAACAAACCTTCTATAATAGCCGGCTAATCCCATAAAGCTACGCACCACAGTGACATTGGTAGGAATTGGCCAATTCACAATTGCCTCAATTTTATGCGGATCAACAGAGACTCCTTCATTTGTTACTACATGCCCCAGAAATGCCACCTCTTGTAGCTAGAATTCACATTTCTTTAACTTTGCATATAATTTCTTCTTCCGGAGTGTTTGAAGGATTAGACGAAGATGATCCTCGTGAGCCTCTACACTCTTTGCATATATGAGAATATCATCAATAAATACTACCACAAACTCGTCCAGGTAAGGTTTAAAGACGCGATTCATTAGATCCATAAATGCTGCCGGTGCGTTAGTAACTCCAAAGGGCATGACTAGAAATTCATAATGGCCGTACCGGGTTCGAAAAGCTGTCTTCTCCACATCATCAGCTTTGACCTTCAATTGATGGTATCCAGACCGTAGATCAATTTTTGAGAAAACTTGTGCCCCTTGTACCTGGTCAAATAAATCGTCAATCCGTGGTAAAGGGTACTTATTTTTAGTGGTTACCTTATTGAGTTCCCTGTAGTCAACACATAGCCGAAGTGTTCCATCCTTATTTTTCACAAATAAAACTGGCGCGCCCGAAGGAGATACACTCGGTCGGATGAATCCCTTCTCAAGCAAATCTTGTAATTAAATCTTTAACTCTTTCATTTCAGCTGGGGACATCCTATACGGCGTCTTAGAGATGGGTTGGGTTCCTGGCGCTACTTCAATTATAAACTCAATTTCGCGGTCTATCAACTGCCCTGGCAATTCTTCGGGAAAAACATCCGAAAATTCACGGACCACTGGAATCACATCAATACCCCTATTCATCACTTGTTCCTCCGAAATACTACATAAATACCCCTGACATCCTTTATGCATTAATTTACAAGCCTACGCGACAGAAATCAAATAAGGTGGCAAAGTCACTTCCTGTCCCTGAACAATAGCCTCTAGTTGCCCCGGAGGACGAAAATTGATTTTCTTAGTCAAGCCGTTTATAGTTGCACCATAATCACTCAGCCAATCCATTCCCAGAATAACATCAAAAGAGGTCATGTCGAGAGGTAACAGGTTAGCATACACCCGAATATCCCCAAGTTGAAGTTCACAGGCTACATATACCGAAGCACAGATCATAGAGTCTCCCAAAGGGGAAGAAACACATAACATATAAGACAAGTTTTCTTCAGTTTTATCAAACTTAGGGGCAAATATTTTCGACACAAAAGAGTGGGTGGAGCCAGAATCAAACAATACATGCGCAGAATGACAATAAACAGTAAATGTGCCTGACACCACCGTCGCCGCATTTTGTACATCACCTGGAACTAATGCGAACACCTACCTTTCCTTGCAATATCTTTATTATTCATAGGTTTAGCAGCTGCCTTCGCGTTGGGGGTTGGTGTAGACCCCGCGGAACTTGTAACAGTCGTATTGCCCTTTTGTTGACTCCATTGCGGGCAATCCCTTACCAGATGACCCGTTTTGCCACATTTAAAACAAGCCCCAGTCTTCCAGTGGCAAGTCCCTCGATGTTGCCTTCCACAATTTGGGCACACCGGAGTGGAGTTGTGGGTAGGGGTGGTAATGCTGAAGTTCCCTGAATTCTGCCTCTTGTTTGGTGGGGTAATTGATCCTTTTGACCATTGATTATTCTGCCTCTTCCCTTTCCACTCGGAAATCCGATTCTGAGCAGCAAGATTCCCTTCTGCTATGACGGCCCTTTCTAGCACATCGACATAAGTAGGTAGCTTTAACATATTGACCCGGTCTAGGATAGCACCCCGTAAGCCCCCTTCAAATTTTCGTGCCTTCTTATAATCCGTATCCACCATATGAGGCGCAAATCGAGCTAGTTCTGCAAATTGGGTTTCATATTCAGCAACAGTCTTGTTTCCTTGTCTGAGAGTTTCAAATTCAGTCACCTTCTTATCTCGCATGCTTTGGGGAAAATATTTGTCGTAGAACAATTCTAGAAATCTATCCCATGTTAATCCTAGGTGTATGGTCCTTGTGACCATCCACAATCTCCGCGCCTCATCCTCATGAGTGAAAGCAGCCAATTGCACTTTTTGAGGTTCTGTACAAGGAAAAACTTCGAATAGTTTCTCGATTCCCAACACCCATGCTTCAGCTTTCATTGGTTCTATGCCTCCTTTGAAGACTGGTGGTTTCATCTTTTTAAACTCTTTAGTAAGGGTGATGGTTCAATCTTCAGCATGAAAATCTGGTACTGCCGGTGGAGGTACCGGTGGTGGTGGCGGTTGTTGTTGTTGTGGTTGTTGTTGTTGTTGTCGTAGGGTCTCCGCCATTTCCATAATCATTCTCCCCATCCTATCCAACCGTTCAGAAGTAGCATCTTACGCATCTTCTGTCCTTGTTCTCACCATTTCCTACACAACCATCAATTATACACAAGAAACATAATTCAAAGTTGTTAACTTTATCAGAGTACACTTAACGTTGCCATCGCTCTTTCATATACTTTCAGGACGTTATGCAAGATGCCTAAAGCTTTTCTAGGCACCCTAAGCTTAATGGATCCGTGTGTGAGATAGCAACTCGTGCTCTGATACCACTTGTCACACCCCAAACTTGCCCCTGAAAGTTTGGGCATGACCAATGCAGAAAAGGACACTTAACCTGATATATATATATATAAGGTAGGGGCCTGAACGGAAGTAGTGTAGTAATCATAGAATATTATATAAGAAAGTATGATATCCATTGAGCTATCACTATCATGCCAGGATCACAGATATAGCATAAGACGAACAGACATGAAGAGATACACGTTTGAGAACTAGTTATATACATATGCATATGCCGAACCAGCCCCATGGTTGGGCGTATTGCAAAAACATTATATACATTCCTCTTAAGCCAATAACTAGACTATAAGCCATAATCTAGCACAACATCACAAAAATAAACGGCTTCGAGCAGGTGCCTGGCTATGCTTAGGCTGACAAAAGTATGACGACGCCAAGTCTAGGACCGACCTCCAGATTGGTTACCTACAAAAACAGACATAACATAGGATGAGCTAAGCTTAGTGAACAATAGTACATACATGCTTCACTACTCATATATAGATAACAACGTAAAGGATGCAGTAATCACATAACTAGTCTGATTCCATATTACTTGAACGACTTTGTCGGTTCCACAACTTTACGAATTGGCCATTGGTCTGATAGGTTCACACATACACAAATTAGCTTTTGGCTTCATAGATTCATCACTTATTACATCGGTCTTCGGCCTCTTGGATGCACAATTTCACAAGTCGGCCCTCGGCCTCATAGTTTCATGTTTTACATAGTTCAAGAGTCGGCCCTCGGTCTCATAGTCATAGTTTCATGTTTCATATAGTTCACAAGTCGGCCCTCGGCCTCATAGGTTTGTAACTTCACAAATGGCCCTTGGCCACATAGGATCATAACTTCACAATTCCTTTTGATGTTTTCATAATTTCATAATGTGTCTCAAATTCATAACTTCATATTGGTTTCTAAGTAGCATACGTATTAAACATAACGTCAATAACAATAATGATTAACGTGATTGAGGTACATCGAGTACTATTACTCACTGTGTTGCGGCGGGGCACCAGTTCCTCTTGACGTGCTTCCTACACACACAAAGATTCACATTAGTTCCTCTTTTTCTTGTTAAATAGTTCCTGAATCACATGCTTCGAACGAATTTTTAACCATATTATCAAAATAATATTTTAAACATATCAGAGGGTCGAGCACGCAAAACAGAACCGGCATGCTTTCCGACATGGGCCGCACGTGTGGCAGCCCCCTCTGCACGAGCGTACATTGACCGCACGTGCGGTCCCCCTCCTCCGCACGAGTGGCCATAGATAGTAGGCAACCCAGATTTTTTCCCTCTTCTCCGCTCGTGCGGCCATGGCCTCCGCATGTGCGGCCAAGGCCCTGTTTGGCAATCCAAAAATTCTGAAAAATCCCACTTTTGGTGAGCATCAACAAGGTCTAAATTAGATCCTTTAATTGCCAAAACAAGCTTCCAAAATCATTACACATACATGATGATTCTCAATATAAACTAGCTCTTAACTTCACAACTCAATTTGATTCATCAAAACTTTAAATTCATAACCACCATCCAATTCCTTTTTCCTTGAGCATTCTCACATATATATATATATATATATACATAGAGCCATATGTTTCTATATTTGAATTCAAACATAACAATTCAAGGAAGTTGGACTACAATACTCAAAGATAGGATGATCTTATCAATTATGTAACATAAACACATAAGATTCCTTATGTTCATAAACATAGCACAATTCATCAATAGAATTACATGAGTTTGGCATGGAAACTAAAGATTGAAGTAGAATTCTACACAACACTTAAATTAGATCCCAACCCAACCCATTGATGAGCATGTCTTGATAATAACACAAGAATCACACACAACTCTCCATTACAACCCTAGTAGCTCCCATAAGAAATTGACAACCCTTCCTCACAATTGAAAGGAGAATTTTTACACATGGTTAAGAGAAAGTTTATGCAAAATTAATTTCACATACCTTGGCTTCACAAATCTCCAAGATCCTCCTAATTAATCTCACCTCCTTCCTTGTTAACCTTTCCCTTTTCTCTTATTTCGTTTTTTTTTCCTCTCCAGGAGATACTTCAAGTTTTGATCACACTTAAGAAGACTTGAACTTATATAGATTCATATATAAAGCATATAAGACAAAATTCAATCGTTTAATCATTCTGAAATTGAAATTTCGTAACCATGCTTAATATTACTTAAAAATTATGCTGATCCCAGATATATAATCAATTTCAGATAATTAAGCCTCTAGGGCTTCCAATTTCTGATTTAACATTATAATGGTAACAGATGGTTTTCCTCATTAAACAGATACAGGTTCGATTCATAAAGCATATATATACTTAAACTTAATTTTTCATGCAGTGGCACATTAAGCATTTGTAAGCACAGAATAAAGACTAAAATATAGCAGAATCACATGCAAGGGTTGGGTTATTACAGGTATATTATTGTTCCACTGTGTTTATTTCTTCCATGAAAATTTTGCTACTAAATTCTGTTTATTTGAATGATGTGGCAAGTTTGGCAATTGCCAAACTTGTTGCCAAATTTGAGAGATGAAATGGCATTTGCCAAATTTGACAACGGTTATAGCAGCCCATTGGAGCAACATGTTTGAGAACTCTTGTCAAATTTTGACAATGGTAGCTCAAATAACTTACCATTGGAGATGCTCTTAGCGGGGTTGGGTATTTTTCCCCTGTTGGCAGGTTTTGGCAGGTTATGCCGTTATTGATTTCGGGTTATTTCCTTTATTTAATTATTCCAGTGTGAGTTAATTAAATAAGATAGACTTAATAAGATTGAGTAAATTAATTCAGAAATTAGGAATTTTATTGCATAATTTTACTTGTCACAACACTTGCATGTTTACTTAGAAAGAAATGAGATTATTGTCAGGTGAGTGTCAATACTCACCCCCCTGCATTGTATATGTATTGATGGACACCCGCCGATGTGAGTGTCAGCATGTAGTTTGTTTTGTTAAATTTAGACCCTAGGCTAATTGGGCATACGTGCCTTTACACTTTTTGTCAGATTATTATATTAATTAATTTTGGGTTGTAACTTAAACATTTATTTCCGTTATTGCATGATGTACTTCATTTTATGGCATTGCACACCAAGTGAGGATGTGTTTAGTATGTGAGAGAACACTAGAGTTTTTGAACTTAAAGGGTAAATTATTTCCAAAACTATCAAATGACACGTTTCCCAATGCAAACTGAATTTTATCAAAAACACTTTGTTTTATCACATATATTTAAGTTAGGCTCTATAAAAGAAAAATGGACATGTTTTTCAACCTTATGTTAGTGAAGTAAGGAATAAAAAAGTACAAATTCCTAGAAAAGTATACAAATTTAATTATTAATATGTATAAAGTTTTCCATTGTGTAGACACCCAATTTTAACCGACCTTATAACTTGGTCGCTCTTTTTTGGTTACCCAATTATGAAAACCAAGATGTGCTAATCCTATGAGTTCCTCAATAGGAAACCCGAGAGTTAAGTTTTAAATCCCAACCAATTAATTGTTTTGGCCAAAATGCTTTTTTCGACCGATTGAAAACCCTTTTCTAAAACTCTATTTGGTTGCGCAGCTCTAGACATTTTCACCTTGTCCCAAGGCTCACCATTTCAAAACTCAAAACATTGTCATCTTTCAAATAGATCGAGCAAAGGATATAGTGTGAATGAATGGAAGGGGTAGAATCCTTTGTGTTAACCAAAAAACAACCTAAGAGGGGGTGAATTAGGTTTCTACAAATTTCAATTAATATTATACCTTAATAAAAATTACAACTAGTATAGCACAAGATTATCAAATAAATGATAGAGCTAAAAGAATGAAGACTTTAACAGTGAAACAGCTAAGTAAAAATGTAGTGGTTGAATTTTTGCCTAAACAAAATCTGGTATAGAAAAATGAGAAACCCACACTCAATGGAAGATGGTGATAGATAGCTATATAAGGTAAGTAAAGTGATTGCACAATAATAACAAGTGCTATAATGACTATATCAGTGAGGTATAGTTAACACTGAGATTTTGTTCAATGAAGAGAAGTATATAACACAAAATAACATATAGGTATAGCAGTGACAAAAATCAACACAGTGAGCGTATTAGTTAGTTATATCGGTGAAGAAGAATGAAGGGATTTGATTTAGCACAAGTGTTCTATCAACTATATCAGTTAATGAATTTAGCAAAGTGAGTATATGAGATATAACTATAACAGTTAAGCAAAATAAAGAGATAAGGAAGAGGGAGGCAAATAGATTTATAGTAGTTCGGCTTCAACCATGCCTACATCCACTTCTCAAGCTTCACTTGAGATTTTCCACTATCCTCTAGCTTTACAAGGGTACTAGCAACCTCTTCACAAATGGAGCAATCCTCCACAGACTTTTCAAGTCCAAACCCTTGCCCTCTTTAGCTGATTCTCAATCACACTCAAAGAGTTAAGAACACTGAATGTACTACACTCTTACAAGATCGAAATGAAGTTATTTTTTCTTTCAAAGAAAGCTACAAGAGTTATCTCTCAAAGATAGATATA